GCTTGGAAGGATAGTCAGGACTCCATAGGTCAGGGTAGGAGGGGAGGGGATTCAAGGTGAAAGGGGTGGCAGGAGCAAAAGAAGGGAGAAAAGGGAGTTGTGCAGATGTTAAAAGACCACAAGTAACCTGGGCCAGAGAAGGAGGGTGCACAGCACCGTTGTAAGCCACAGTTTCACCACTGCAAAATGAAGATCTCAGTACCCACCAACTAAAGGGATTTAGCTGATGAATGAAGAGCAAATGGGAAATTGCAGACCCACCAGGGAAGAGGGGGGTAAGGAAAGGACATTTAAGACAGAGAAGTAAATTTCTGAATGCCTGAGGGAGTAGGTCCAGTTTGGGGAATTGAGTGTATTTTGGGGTTTCCAGATCATAAGGCATCTGTGGGGAAGGTGGTGGGAAATGAGTGGGAACTAAGGGGGCACTGCAGACAGAGCTAGGAGTTAATCCTCTAGGTCTGGATTTATGCAAGTGGTTAAGACCTTATAATAGCAAGTAATAATGCTTCTTATGTGGAAAATGAATTGTGATATAATGAGAAATATATATTTGGTCTTTGTCCCCAGTTTCTGAGAGAGCTTCTAAAACGCTTGGCATTAGGAGCATCTTTCATTATTCATAACAAGACCCTTTCAACCACACCTGAGTTTATGCTAATAAGGTGACTCTTGGGAATTCCCTGGTGGTCCAGTGGTTAGGGCTCTGCGTTTCCACTGCAGGGGGCATGGGTTTGATCCCTGGTTGGGGAACTAAGATACCACATGCCACTTAGCGCGGCTGGAAAAAAAAAAGTGACTCCTGGTGGGCCCCTAGATGCTTCAGGATGGGGGATGTCTGCCAGAGGAACCAACCATGTGATTAGAGGGTTAGAACTCTCAGTCCCATTCCTCAACCTCCAGAGAGGGGAGAGGAACCCAGAGATGGAGGTCAATTAGCAATGACTGATGATTTAATCATTCATGTCTATGTAATGGAACTTCCAATTAAAAAAAAAACAAACCCTAAATGATGAGATTTGGAGAGCTTCTGGGTTCGTGAACACATCGAGGTACTAGGAGGGTGGTGTGCCAGAGCATGGAAGCTCCATGCCCCCCCCCCATGCCCTATGTCTCTTCCATTTGACTGTTCCTGAGATGTAACCTTTATAATAAACTGGTAATGGTAAGTGAACTGCTTTCCTGAGTTCTGTGAGCCACACTAGCAAATTAACAAACCTGAAGAGGGAATCATCTGCAAGTATCTCGTTTCCAAATAAGGGCACATTCTGAGGTTCCAGGTGTACGTGAAATTTGGAAGGAACACGATTCAACTCACTATATAGATATGATATTTTAGTATTGATCACAACTGTTGTTATCATACAATTTTATATCATTGAATTACAGGTATTTGTTAATGTAAATCAATAACATTCCTTTATAATAGAACTTAGTCTTGTTTTTAATGTAGTTGGCTCTCAGACCATCTGCTGAATGAGTAGTTTGTGAATGAATCAAGATCTCTATTGTCCCAAAATTTCATCCAGCAGTTCATGCAAGGCACAATCTCTAGATTGATAGTCAATAATGTCAAAGCATTAAAAACAACAGCAGAAACTACAAAATGCAGAACAAAACAACTAATAAACCAATAAAAAGAAAAAAAATTCTCCAACAACTACAGTAAACTTCAAGCAATAGAGAATTATTGATGAGCTGTGGGGAAAAAAATCATATTTCAATATTCAAAGGTTATATAAGAGACTCTTCTGTATTTGGTAGAGATGTTTAGTCAGATGAACGAATATCTCTAATGTAATAACTTGAAAAATTTAGATCTCCACGCATGGTGCTTTCTTAAAGCGGGCACATAATCACAATCTCGGGAAAGTCAGAACTAAAATACTTTATTATCCTATGGAAGCAAACTGGTGAGTCTTGCCTTGCATGTTACAACCATGTCAATTTCAAGTGAGAACATCTAAAACATTGCTATTAACCTAACCACCAATTAGAAATGTACACATGAAAGTAGATTGCAGCTCATTAGGTAAAACCCTCAATTACTAATTGCAGTGTTAAAATCAAGGTAGGTAAGATGGTGAGCGTGCTTAGGGGGCAGGGCACTAACTGGGAATTCATGTAAAAGTGAGGTTGAGGGAGCAACAAGGAGAACTTTTCTCTTTTTCACACATAAGGGAAAAGCAACAAGAATCAAAAGAATCTAGAAGGGAACGCCTTACCCAATCCCCACATTTAACCAGGAAGTTAAATGTGAGGAAGATGGGCTTAGAGAAGTGATTTGCACATATTTCCTGACTTCGGATTCACTTTCCATCACAATGTCCTGTGTCGTTTAGAGGAGTTACTAAGACAAACCGAACAGACAATGAAAATAAAAAGAAAGCAACCATAAAAATACCCTGCTGCCAAACTTTCAGCAAATGGCTTAGAGAAATATTAAGCGGTGTGTGTGTGTATTTGAATGAGAATGTGTACATACTTCAAATAGCATAGTTTCCATTTTTAATAAGGGGTATTCAAATGTTTAGTTACATAGTATGTATGTAAGAAAAAATAAATGTTAACTACTGGCTCATCAAACAAGATCCATGTGACACAATTTACTTATTCTTAAGGTTCCGTAGAGAAGTGTACATATTTTGATATTAGGGCTCAACGAATCCAATTTAAAACCAGAACTCCACTTGAAATTTGGCTAAATGAAATGGTATGGAAAATTGCCCTTTAGTTTTTGTGTGTGTTTTTTTTTTTTTTTAATAACTTTTGGCTGCGTTGTGTCTTTGTTGCTGTGTGGGCTTTCTCTAGTTGTGGCGAGTGGGGGCTACTCTTCATTGCGGTGCATGGGCTTCTCATTGTGGTGGATTCTCTTGTTGCAGAGCACGGGCTCTAGGCGTGCAGGCTCAGTAGTTGTGGCACGCGGGCTTAGTAGCTCCGCGGCATGTGGGATCTTCTCGGACCAGGGCTTGAACCCATGTCCCCTGCATTGGCAGGTGGATTCTTAACCACTGCACCACCAGGGAAGTCCTGCCCTTTAGTTTTAAATAGAAACACTATAAAACATAGGTTGATTTGAACAACAGGTCCTGTGAAAATGAATCTATAGCAGTCATGGGCAGCAAAGGGTTCTGGGATAGACATCAGTAAAAAAATGGAGCAACCACTCTTGGGCATCAGGTTCAATGACCACTTAAATGTCAACTTTTGGATGACCATCTTCACCTGCTTAACCCATAAGGTAAGGTCTGTGAGAGCAGGACCCCAGTGCTTAGGATGGAGTCTGGTGCAGAGAAAGTGCTTAACAGTATTTGTTGAATTGACTTCTCAAATCTGTATCTCTTTCACAAACTAATTTAACCAGCTTCAGACCTAACTTTCTAACCATCTTCTGAACACCTCAACCTGCACGTTCCTCTCACATTTCAAAGTGAACACAACCCCACACCAAAATGCATTATTCTTCCCCCACAGTTGTTTTCCCTGTGTTCCTTAGAGCAGCATAGCTGTCACATGATACCAAGTCCAGATAAATCAGCCTCTTGAATATCTCCAGACACCTCTTTCTCACCCTCCCTTCTGCGCTAGTTTATGTAATTATCATCTTTTAATTTTTACAATTGCTGCCAGTCTTACTCCTTTCTTCAAAAATCCTCAAAAATGAATTTTTTTTCTTTTCCTGAAACACAAAATCAATCACAATTGCCTGCAAGAAAGGATCTAAATTCCTTAGTACCTATGAGGGTTTTCATCTGTGCTTATTCCTCCAGCCTGATCTACCTCCGAATCCCCAAACTTTAATCATTCAGAACTACTATTCCCAGAACAACTGCTCTCACATCCCTGGAAGCTTGTTTTTCTGCCTAGAAAGCACTCCTTACTCCAAATTATCGTCTCTCTTGGCAGATTTTTATTCGTCCTTCAAAATTCAAGTCCTTTCAAACCTCTGACCATCACCCTCCAAGACTGTTAGGTGTTCCCTCTTTTCGCAGACTTCCACTGATTTCCACTGAGTCTTCACCACGCTGCTGGGCACTTGAAGGCAGGGGCTGTCGTTTTCACTTTTGTCTCTTCAGCGAGCAACGGTACCTCCTCATTGTTTTTGATAGGTGAATGAAGGAGTAAATGCTGAGGAACATCATTCCAGGCAATTCCACTCTTTACAGATGGGAAACTGAGGCCCAGAAAGGCAACATGATGTGACAAAATTTAACTAAGAAGAGGGGAAAGGCCTGGCCTTCCAGGCTTTCGGCACCGATTTTGCCCCCGTAATAAGCCACAATTAGTGATCACAGACCTACCTCTTGTTACATTCAAGACCGGTCTCCATACTTCAACTCTGGGAGCTAGTACGCAGCTCTAATTGCGTTGAGGTTACTCCTTCTCCTCCCCTCCCCCAGACCCTGCTCCAGTGTTTCCTCAAGGAAAATCCAACATCCTCTTTCCGCTTTCAGTTGTGGCCTGCAGCTACAGGATTTCTCTCCATCCCTCTCCCCACACTCCTCACAGGACTCCCATTCCTGCAGGGTGACAGTTTGTATCCGGAAACCGTAGCGCCCTCAGTACAGCCAGATCGCGGGTGGATTTAGAATTGGGAGGGGCTCTTAACAGAACAGGATAAAACTCAGAGCAACTCTACCGCGCACTATTCCGGGATGCTTGGAGGAGAAGTTGATTCACCTCGCCTGCTAATCGGGACAAAAAGGGTTTGTTGCTGTCGCTGAGGGGCCAGATGAGAGGAGGTACTCTGTGACCAAGCCATTTTCTGTGAGAAGAGGCGCTTAGCCCCCCAGAGTTGTGAGACGCCAGGCGGAGGAAGGCGAGGCGCCCCTGGACTCAGAGGCCCGCGGTTCTCCTGCTTCCCGGCGGTTTGGGGGCGGGGCCTCCAGCCAAGCCCCCTCTCAGCCTTCTGATTGGTTCCTTCGAAACAGGCGGCGGCGAGCCGCTGCGAAGCTCGAGGCAGAGGCGGCGGCTGCGGCGGCGGCGGTTGGGCAGGGGCGTGCCGGCCAGGCACAGATTGAGCGAAATGTCGCCCCACAGGGAGCAGTGACCCTCCTGCGCCTGGGCGGGTGAGTACTTCCCTGTTTGCCTTCTCTTTCCTCGCGAACTCTTACTTGCCTTCTCGGGGCTGCCGCGCCTCAGCTTGCGCTCGAAGAGCCCCCAACGCTCCGCGGAGGGGAAGCGGTGGTTCGGTTGGGGCCCCGAGCTGCGGGATCCAAGACGCTGTGCGATTGGCCCGCTGCGGGAGTCTTGTGCTCTGATTGGTCCCCGGGGCCGTCAAGGTGAAGTTATGCCTGCCTTCCCATGCCCACCCGGGTGCTGTGCGAGGGGCCACAGGTGTGCTGGGGCGGGGGACGGCAGGTGTGGGTGTGCTAGGTTAGGGGAGAGGTAGCGACCCGCTGCAGCTCTGCTTTAGACTCCAAGGAGGGATGAGAGCCTGAAGCTAGTTTAGGCTCTCCAGGGGCACCTTCATTTCCAAGCACCTAGCACATATAGGGTCACTTGATTCCTTAGTGCCTCCCTCAGCAAGAAGTGATGAAGTCACTGACGTTGGAAGGAGAATGACACATAGTCATTTTGCACTCTGGCAGAGTTTACAGTTTCTTCCCTATTTGTTCCCTCCAGTCGTTGCAAGGCCCATGTCGCCGAATAACTGGAGGCTCTGTTCTATGCTTTCCCCACCCACACGTCTCGGTTTGAAAGGCTGCGTTACGGGGAGGTTTGTAGATTGCCTTGTAAGTCGGAGGAAAGTTTTGGAGGGAGTGCTTGACCATGCAGTCACTCCTGGTTCCTAACTTTTCGAACCACGGGATTGAGTCTAATGGATTTAGAGTGCTTTGTGGTACGTCTGGTGAAGTTGAGTCGTTATTAAGTGAAGAGATTTTTTTTTTTTTTGCAGGCCCTGTCTAGGTCAGAGTTTGGGTTTTGCTTCGTTTGTGTGGAGAGTGCTCATACCTACTCTCTCAGAAGATAAGCAGTTTGTGAACTGCTGTCTGATTACCTCACTTGGGACTTAAATAATTAGGAATTGGAATTCTCACCACCTCAGATTCCCTTTGGGAGGAGATTGGAATAGATTTGAATGAAAAAGTGGAAACTGGTGGTAGTCGTCTGGTGTAGAATCCCGATACATGTTGCCTGTCTGACTCATCTCTTTAAAAAACTCATTAAAAACCCACAGATTTTGAATAGTGGGTGTCTCTGCTATTTTTATATTAATGAATTATAAGTAATATTTCTTTTAATGTAGCAGAGTTTCTAAACATGGGGGCTCTGAAATCACACTTTACTATGTGTGTGACCTTAGGCAAGTTACTTAATCTTTCTAAGCCTAAGTTTCATACTGTGCAAACGAAGGTTAATAATAAATAGTTCCTACCTTATTGATGTGAAGGTCATTGTGAAGATCAAGTGAAATAATCCATAGTACAGTGCCTGGCACATAGCTTGTATTATTTCTATGCTGTTTAATTTGGATTAAAAGTTTCAAGCTATCCCCAAAGGGCAGGCAGAGAGGAGCAGAAGGTGAAGGCAGTGCCAGAGGTCATGGTAGCTGTCATTCGTTGATTAAGTTAGTCCATGTAAAGCACTTAAAATTATTTCTGGCACATACTAAACACTCACTACTGCTTATCACGCATTATTACCTAGAATGTGTCAGGTACTGTTATAGGTGCTTTACTTATATTATTGTTAAACCTCTTAATAATCCTGCAGTCTCCTTGGTGTTTTCTCCATGTCATAGATTAAACTGAAGCTCAGAGAAAGGAATTAAGCTACTAAGGTCCACCCAGAATTCAGTCTAGACTGTCTCCAGTGTCCAGCCTCTTTTTTTTTTTTTAAATCACACTACTCTTGCATTTATATTCCCAGCTATAAGCAACTTCTCTGCAGAGTTGTTTGTATGGCCCAGGTTCATTTCTGCTGTGGGTATCAGTTTATTTTGAATACTTCATTAAAAAATAGTGAGAAGTAACTTGAGATGGTAAATCAAAGTGTGTGATAAGGGAATAATGTCAACAGTATACCTGCTAATATACTAAAAAACTAAATGAGTCCAGTGATGTTTGGATGATTGGTCAGTTCAGAAGTAATGTTTCCTAATTTATATTTTCCCATTTAGTTTTTGCTCATTTACTGTACTTTTTACTTAGCAGCACTTTATTTTTCTTTCCTGTCAATCTCAATTTAAGTTTGGAGATAAGAATGAAAGTTCAGTTATTTCAATAAGTTTTTTCAATCTGGCTGTTGATGAGGAAAGTAAGATTAATGTGTATTGTTATGTTTTGCTTTCTTACAGTAACATGGCTGTGTATGTATGTCTATGTATGTGTGTTTTACTTTCTTCCTATTATTTGTTGCTTCCTATACTTTGATATCAGATATACCTTTACATCCTTAATGAACCATACAGTGTACATAGAATTTGAGAGACTAGGAAACTTGAGTCTGTCAGTCTCTTGTCTCATTTTGAATTTCCCTATTTTAATTGAAATGTAACTGCCATAGAGAAATGCCTAAGAAGTAATGTTTATAAGATGCAGGCAATAATTATAATTGTATCTCTTTAGTGTTTCTCCTTCTAAAAACTCATAAAGTTTTATCATGTTATTATGTTGTTACAGAGTAGGTAGTTTTAACAGAATGTTGCCATGTATTTCATAAGTGAATTACTAATGTACAAAGACCTAGAATGTATGAAATGTAGCAGACATTAAATGCAGTTTTGTTTTTGCTGCTGAAAGTGTCATGGGGATTTACAGTATTAAAACCATCAGTCATATGTTAGATATTGCTGAAGTGCTGATAGAGACTTCTGCCTACTCTCACAAAACAAACTTTTTTGTAAGAAAGTATAAGCTATGGTGAAGAACTCACTTTATATGGAATTTTAAACATTATGACTTTTGTTTTCCCTTGATGGATGACTTGTTAATATTTTTGATCCCCAAAATAAAATTGGCTCTTGGGGCTTCCCTGGTGGCGCAGTGGTTGAGAGTCCGCCTGCCGATGCAAGGGACGCGGGTTCGTGCCCCGGTCCGGGAAGATCCCACATGCAGCGGAGCGGCTGGGCCCGTAAGCCATGGCCGCTGAGCCTGCGCGTCCGGAACCTGTGCTCCGCAACAGGAGAGGCCAAAACAGGGAGAGCCCCGCGTACCCCAAAAAAAAAAAAAAAAAAATTGGCTGTTGAAAAAAATTATTTAACTTTGTTCAAGAGTTTTTCTTTTTCACACACACACACACACACACACACACACACACAGTTTAGAAAACACTGTGATCCCAGTAACATACTTAAATACTGTACTGCAGATTGCTTTTGGTTGCATGACATATAATAGACATCTTTTCATATCAGTACATACAGCTCTTATTCTTTTTTTAATGTTGTTTTTACATTTCTTTGTTACCGTATACGTATGTTTTCCAGAGTCTTTTAGTCTATCATATATAAAGGCAAATGGATTTTAAGTTTTAAAAAAATTTTTGTATCCCACAAAATTTTATGACAAACTAATAATTCTGTGTAATACAAAATTAAATTATTCAGGTTGGATCTCTGCCAAACATTGCAAAAGGAAATTTTCAAATAAAAGAGTAAAGACTCCCAACAAATGAAGGGGCTTTATATTTTGCAGATAACATGTGATGTTTTATTACGTAGTAAGAATCTTATTTCTTCCTCTTAAAAATCTTCATCTGCTTTGGAAGCTACCTTTACCTTAAAGGAATATACCACAGACTTATTTCATTATTGTTTCATATTTCCTTTAGTAATAAATACAACACTTATTGTTTAGGAGTAATTCCAGGGCTAAATTTAGCACTGAGTTCTACATACAAGTGGAAGAGATGGAGAAGGTTACCCCCTTACGAATCTTATTTTTTTTTTAAGTATAGAGTACAGCAAAATAGAAGCCTATATTGCTATACAACCTAAACAGGGGAGGAGGTTCACAGAGGCTTTTTAGAGCAGTTGAATCTGAAGGGTAGGTAGGAGTGAGTCTGAAAGAGGGGAGGAAGGGGAGCGTTCCATGTAGATGGATCACAGAGATGAGAGAGCAGCGTGCTCCACGGGCCAAAAGAAGTTCAACATGGCTGGAGTGTAAGGGTCAGAGGTGGCCGAGGGGATCCTGTAAGGCTTTGATGGCTTCCTTAAGGACTTTAGGCTTTATCCTGAAGGCAGTGGAGAGCCATTAAGGGTTTTTATTTGTTTATTATTTCTGGCTGCGTTGGGTCTTCGTTGCTGTACGCAGGCTTTCTCTAGTTGCGATGAGCGGGGCTACTCTTCTTTGGGGTGCGTGGGCTTCTCATTGCGATGGTTTCTCTTGTTGTGGAGCACGGGCTCTAGGCACGCGGGCTTCAGTAGTTGTGGCTCACAGGCTCTAGAGTGCAGGCTCAGCAGTTGTGGCACACGGGCTTAGTTGCTCCGTGGCATGTGGGATCTTCCCGGCCCAGGGCTTGAACCTGTGTTCCCTGCATTGGCAGGCGGATTCTTAACCACTGCGCCACCAGGGAAGCCCCCATTAAGGGTTTTAAGCAGGGAAGTAGTAACATCCTTAGATGGGAGTTTGTGAAGGCTCACCCTGGATGCAGCACATGAACAAGTTGGAGGCATGAAAGGGTAGAGAGAGGGCGACTGGTTGGAGGCTGTTTCAGTAAACCTGGAAAAGGATGGTGGTGGCTTGAACTAAAGGAGTGGCCTTGGGTATTGAAGAGAAAATGTAAAGGTAGAAACAACGAGATATGGCCACTGATTGTTCTGGCTGAGGTAGGGTTGGAGCCTGGGGCGGAGCTGTGAGAGAGGAAGGAGTCCGCATGACCTGGAACTTGGTGAGTGTGGGTGCTGTTCCCTGAGACAGTAAACACTAGGAGCCTTTGTAAATATTTAAATGAATGAGTGAATGAATGATCTCAGATGTACAAAGGCAGGGCCATTGTTGATGACGATAGCACACACACAGCAATCACAATGGCTTTTACCTGTAAATTTTGCATCTTTTTTTTTTTTTTTAAGTGTACTATATACAGCTGGTGCCCTTTACTCGTTGCTTCAATGCATTGGCCT